ACCGCGTCCTCCCCTCTATCCTGAGAGGCAGAACTCACGGAAGCCTGCTCCGAAGATACGTGATCGGAGGAAAGCTTTGTTGTAAATCTGTGCGTGTTCATGAGTCACCATAAAGCTTAGAAATAGGGCAGGGATTTGAATGACTTTTTTTTTTTTTTAAAGCCGATAAAGTGTATTCTGTCATCTCCCCATCACCCATGCCGCAGTTTTGGGCAGGAGGAGACCGGTGGCACCGGTCGCTTGTGTACAGCCACCGCTGTGCTTGACCGATGCTGTCATTACGTGACGGGGACTGAGCGAGCTAGGCGGCGCCTTCCTCGGCCCCTGCCGCTTGCCCCGTTGCCTGTGAAGTTCCCGCCTCTCCTGTCAGCAGAGGTTAGTCAGCGGTCACCGATGGTCAGATGGTCAGACTCCAGTCCCGAGCAGCCGTGCCCGGGTCCCCGTCTGCAGGGAGGCTGAGGCACCCCCAGCGGGGCCGGCCCGCCACGTGTGTGTGCTGCGGTGACAGGGAGCACGGACACACACTGCTCTTTTGCCCTGTTTATTATGCCGCCACGCTGAATCGTTCAAAGTGTTGATGACCCTTCATCTTAGAAATCACAGGAAAATGTGTCCCTCCTCGTGAAATAGTGGTTTCCGTAGGGCTCATTTGTTAGTCTCTTTATATCTGAATTTAAAATGTAGTAAAAATGAAGGGCCTTTAGGATATGTTCTCTGATTTCAGAGATGGTGTTCTGTCCTTTTTTTAAAAAAAATATTTTAATTACCAGGATCTTTAAATTGGGTTTAGTAATTATTAAATTATTAGAATTTATCCTAACCACTTAGTTATTTATCTAAAGATACAGTATATGTTTTCTCTTATGTTTTTAGAGAGAGCGTGAGGGAGAGGGACAGAGAGACAGGGAGAGAGAATCCTAAGCAGGCTTCATACTCAGCACGGAGCCTGACTGGGGCTCGATCCCATGACCCCTGGGATCATGACCTGAGCCACAGTCAAGGGTCAGATGCTCATGCAGCTGAGCCACCCAGGCCACCTTAAAGATACAATATTTTTATAATGGTATTATAATTTTAAAAGAGGGAAAACTAAGGATCATATATGTATTTTACTAAAATATGGTTCCCTTGGGGAAAAAAATCGGGGGTAACCTAGACTGACATTTCCCCCCATGTGCATCCGGCCTGGTTGCCCACGTGTACATGACGCGTGCAGCACTGTGGCTCAGGCCTCGCGAAGGCCGCCCAGACTGTGCCCACATTCACTCTGGTGGCGGGCTCCTTGAGGGCCTGTTTCAAAGTCCCAGGATGCCGGAGATGAAAAGGAAAGGCATCGTCTCTTAGTCCTGTGTCAGGAACGGGACAGGAGCAGCACGACTCGGGATTCAGCGGTCTGTTTCCGTTCTGCTGCTAGTTACAGAGCCCCTCAGCCCCGGCCTCTTCCGTGGGGCGGCGCTGCCCGGGCGCCGCAGTGCTGCCCAGTCTGTCTTTACCGAAGCACAGTGTCTTTTCTATCAGCAGCTTTATGAGCATACGGTGACTCTGCCAATTTTTTTGTGGCGGTCCCTTGAGTTTGTTTGTTTCTGTTTCGATTCCCTGAAGCCTTTCCTGGATTATTCCTAGTCTCCAAGCCATACAGTTTTTCTCACGCTTATTAAATATCTATGCTTGGAGTAGTGGGAAAAATGACTTGATTTATGGCTCTCTCTTTCATACTGAAACAGCTCTTTTTGTGTGTGTGTATACACACACTCTGGAAGCATATTTATCATAACCAAAGTGGCTCTAATCACCTGTCATTTGAAGTTAAATGCCCCCCATGACAGTAGGGCCAAATGACACTGAAGATGATGTAGCACGTGTAGTAAGGAACAAGGACAGACCTACTGAGAGCAGTTCACGTGATAACTGTTAGTATTTTTTACTCAGATGGAATGCAAGCCTCCTTTCTCCTTTCGTCCCTGATTTAACGCAAAAGACATGAGGTAGGGCTGGGCTACGTGGGGGCAGCAGTCCCGGGTAGGGCTTCCCAGCCCGCGTGGGGGTCTGGGAACCTGGCGCCCCAGTAGCAATGTGCGCACCTGGTACGCGGTCCCTGCTTTCCCACCGGGACAGGAAGCATAATGCCTGGGCCTGGGATACCTGTACCAGAAAGTAATAACGTGGGCAGAGAATGGGCCATGACAGCTGGAAACTGAAGCCAGCGAGGGGACCAAGTCTGTAATAATCGGAGCATCAAAACAAATGAAGAGAACATGCTGTACCCCATTGAATAAAACAGGAACCCAGGAGTCCATGGTGATAGAAATAGGGAACATAAACGAGATCAAGGGAATTCTTAATCCTACAGTAGGATGTGCCGCTTGTAAACATAGAAGGAGTAATAGAATTTTCAAAATCACCCTTTGGTGACCATCACGGTAATAAATAATTCAGCCCCACACAATAATTTGTTACACAGAGAAAAACTAAGTTCCCAGTGAAGAAACATGCCCAGTACCATCATAATCAGTTCATCAAAATAAATGTTACCAGTTATGAGACAAACAGAATTTGGGCACTGCTTGATAGGCTGCAAAGAACACATCGCTGCTTCCATGATGTTCCTGCCAAAAATCATCCTGCCATAGCCTGAGTCTCTTCATGAAGACACACTGGATAACCTAAATTGAGGGGGATTCTCCGAAATAACTGCTCTGTGATCTTCAAAATTTAAGGGAAGAAGAGTCACCAGAGACTGAGAAACTATTGAAAATGGAAGAATGCTGAAGAGACTTGAAATAAGTCAGGCCACACACGATCCTCGTTTGGATCCTTTTGTTGGGACAATTAGCGGAACTTGAGTCTGTGGATTAGATGGTGATAAACCAGTGTTAGTTTTCTGATATTGATGGTAATATTGGGGTTTTATGGGAAAATGTCCTTGCTTGTAGGAATTACGCACCAGAGCGCTGAGGGTAAAGAGCCTTGTCACAGAAGGTTCAGCAAAAAAATGCTCTGTGAATTTGAAATTATTTCACATTTTTAAAAATAACAAAATAAATGTTCTTTCGGTCATATACATCACTAAGAAAATTATTCTTCTCTCTCAAAACTACAGAAGCAAGACTTTAGAAAGAAACCTACAGCGGGACAATGTGTTCCCTTATTGAGATTTTTTAATCTTTATCAGATACAAAAATAATAAGTTTAGAGAAGATCCTTAAAAGAGAACTGTTTCATTTTTTAACCCACTCAACACACACTGGCACCCACACAGCCAGTAAAAAACTTTGCCATGGCTGATAGAGCTCCGTATCTACTCAGATTTCTAAACACGTGGCCTGAACACAGTTGACGGAGGTTCAAAGCAGCATGATGAGAGAGAGAATATTAGGGTCTATTGTTATTGTTGTCCTTTTTAGCAAAGTAATTAAGAACACAGTCTCTGCAGCCAGGCAACCTGTGTCAGATCCCAGCCACCACATAGAAGACATGCGAGCTCCGACAAAATAGTCGGTTTTTCTGGGCCCCGGTTTCCCCACCTGTAAATTGCGATAATGTTCGACTCCCAGGTTGGCGGTGGGACAGAGGAGATGACGTATGGAAAGCACTTGGACTGGGGCACACCGTAAGCACTAAATAGAGTCGGCTACGGCTCTCGTTATGTCAGGAAATAATAATTTCAGGAAGGTTGAAATGCTTTCACGAAAGCATTCTGATACGGTTCTGTTGACTTCCTTCTCCCTCACCAGGAGTAGAATTGCCAGGGCGCCATAAAAGTTATGGCCTCTGCTGTTAAAACCTGTCTTAAGATCAAAGACTCAGGCTTTGGAAAGCTAAGATTGGTTAAATTCCAGACTTGCCACTTAGAAGCTTTGTGACTCAGGGCTGAGTCTGTAAAATGTCTGTAATGAACCAAAAATCACAGTGGTCAGAGAGGGCTCTTGGGGGTTAATTGAGATCAACTTCACCAAACTGCTAAAAAGGTGACTGACCTAAAGAATGTCCTCAAAAAACTGTGGTTGCTTTTCTTACTCCTTTGGAAATGCAGACAGTCGATGTGGATGAACAGGGACCTCAGATCAGAAATAGCAGCAGAGCATTTGAGCGCATTTTCGAGAACTGTGTGTGATAAGCTTCAGCGTTGTTTGTTTCTGTGGGGGTTTAGACTCCTGACACTGGGCTTACGCTGCTCCAGAAGGAATTCCACTTGACAAGAAGCATGTCATGTGTTGTGTAATCCCATTGTCGGGAGACGCTGGAGAAGAGTAGATAACTATCTTTCTCGAACAGCACAACTTTAGTGCACGCCAGTCCTGAACCCAGGGACAAAGGGCAGAACCCTCATCCAGGCCCCATCTGTGGTTCAGTGGTGAAGACGATACCGATTTTTCTGGCTTTGAAAATGTAAGTCTTTCTTTATCCCCCAGAAGGATCATGTCAGATACACACTGAAAATGTATGTGTGTACTTTCTTTTACAGAGAGAATGTGCTTCCTTCAGAGAACATTTCATCTGACATCAGTGACCAATAGTCATTGATCTAGGACTTACTTATTTAGAATGTTGAGTGTTATCAAAACAACTTTTCCTGGTGCAGCTTCTCCGGCTTTCATTTGTTCCTTCAATCATGCAACAAGTTTTATTGAAAACGAATACTTAAGGCACTTTGCTGGATGTTGGTTATAAAAAAGTGAGCAAAACCTATCCCTCACGGAAGAGGATTCCATCTATTGCTCTTACAGCCTCTAATGGGTTTTTTGGGAACCCTTTGCAAATGAGCCTACTTGGAACAAGTAAAAAAATCAGATTGGGTTGGCTGCAGCTGTGGGTAGATATGTATTTGCTGTGTACGAAAACAGGCTCGCGTCCACATTAGCCTGGAAGTGCCATACCTAGAGGTTCCCTCCAAGCAGCGCCCCTCCCGTCTGGTGGCCGGCAGCCCTGGCTTGCGGGAGGGGTACCCGTGGCTGATGACTCACGTGAGCTTAAACTTGGGCGGCTGGAGTCTGCTCTCCCGCCCCGCTGCGCCTGCTTCTCACACGGGGGAGGAGACAGACCATCCCTTAGCACAATCATGGCGATATTAACTCTCTCGGCCGACTAGTGGCACAAAGGGAAAGTGCCGCTCAGGTCCGAGTCGGTGACTGCAGCTTTCTGCCGTCACAGCGCATTTCCCTGTTACAAAGAGCCCCGGCCGTGCCCGGGAGAGCCGGCCACGGCGAAAGGCACCCCGTGAGCGAGCCTTGGGAGCGGGACGCCGGCCCGGCCAGGCAGTTATGCTGCTAGCGCGTTCCTTGAGTGAGGGGCCTGCGCCGAGATAAGAAAGACCCGCATCCTTCGGATGCCCTAGACCGCCCTTCCTTTAGCCGGAGAACTTAATGAGTAATGGATGTGCCTGTCTGGCCGATAGAAAGTATTTCCACAGCCTGCGGGTGTGTTTAGAGAGAGCCGGAGAGAGACCGCAGGCAGCAATTTGTCTTCTTAGGTATCAGCAAAGTCTTCTCTTTTAACAACTACAGGATTTATTTTTAACTGCTTGACTCAGTGTTTGTCAGATGATTCGGACCATCAAACTGCAGATGGAAGGACCCGGCGGCGCGGTGGGGGGAGGAAGGGGGAGCCGGCACGGCGGGGGAGAGGGGGCTGGCTGGGAAAAGGGGTGGGATTTCAGCATCGTGCCTCCGGGCGTCTCTGGGAGGGAGGTGGGGAGAGTTGAGGGCTTCCCGCAGGCAGCCGCGCGGCTGTGTGCTCGCCGGCCGGCCGGGAGCTAGAGGGGAATGGCTGCCTCCGGCTGCTTAGAGACCTGATCGCCCGGGACTGAGACCGGAGTGCTGTCAGGAGGGACCCGGGGCCCAGGGACCAGACCGGAGCGTGCTCTGCACATTGCGCTTTTCTCCCGCTTGATGCTGCCCGTCTCTAGGAGCCTCTCACCATGATCGATAGCTCCAAGAAGCAGCAACAGGGCTTCCCGGAGATTTTAACTGCGGGGGATTTCGAGCCAGTCAAAGAGAAGGAATGCCTTGAGGGGAGCAACCAGAAAAGTCTTAAGGAAGGTCAGTGTGCGTGGCCGGGGCCCCAGGCGCCGGGTCCGTGTCCGCCGCCAGCCAGGCTGCGCGCGTCTGTGTGCCGTGTGCCCACCTTGCCGTGTGTCCGCTCTCTGTGCTTGCTCCTCTGCCTCACTCGCTCCGAGTTCCTAGAAATGAAAGCGCAGTGCTGTCCTCGGTGGCTCTCTCCAGCCGTCCCCCAGCTCGCAGACCTCGAGGCATGTTGCAGTCGTTAGTGCAGGACGGGGACTTGAGGGCACTTGAGCACGCCAGCCCAGCTTTCAGTGAAATCCTCCCAGGTCCATCTCCTGCATTTTCTCATGCTCTCCAATTTTTCCTTGCCACCCGCCCCCACCCCGTTAGGAGAGGCCATTTCCCTTTCCATATTCTTCAGAACACTATTTGCTTTAGGCTTAAACACATAATTCCAGGAAAATTAATGTTTTCCAGTTGACACGTTCATGGTTTTTATTGTTTAAAGCCAGGAAGGTAGCTACCGCTTTCTTAAGTAGATCTTTAAATGATGGGTGCAATTGGTTGTAATGCACAGCGCATCGTTTTGTTTTGTTTTGTTTTTTTAAAAACATTGCATAGTTTTGTGGAGTTTTTTAACAAAGCATAAAATAAGCATGTGAACGCTTATTTTATCACTGTTGGTGGCCGCTGCACGGCACCTCAGTGACTGACGTGAGAAGAGGCCAAAGGTGTGGCTTTGCTCGTCCCCTCGTCCCGGCATACGCTGAAGTGTGGCCGGCCCGGGGCCAGCCGGGCTCCGCAGCAGCAGCTGGAGAGCTAGGGCCCTGCTTCAGGAGGTTCAGGACCTACTGGCGTGAAGTTTTCCCTGAATTTGGGATCCTGAAGGCCGCCCCTCGCAATGCTTGTTGACTTTGAAATTTGCTTTTCTGGTGTTCTTTGGGAGAAAAAACCACCAGCATAACCTCTCTTCGTTTTATCTGCTTTCAGCTCCTGCCATCAGCCGCCCCCTCACCTCTCCACTCGCTCTCGCTCATCTTCTAGACCCAGAGAGTAAATGCAGAGTTCTCTGCCTGAGTAGCAGTTGGAGAGTCTTCCGAAAGCATATTGCCCCCTTTTTTTGCTCACTTAGAGTATGAGAGTGTGACAGTAGAGATTGTTACAGATTTAAAAGATAAGAAAAAACAATAGTTGGACTTTTTAGAGTTGAACTACTTTTGAGTGTGGGTAGAAAAACCCTCTAGATCAAAACAAACGACACACAATGATGTATAAATAGCTGTTGCCAGGAATCAAACAATGGGGTCGCCTCTGCTTGTATGCAGCAAGCCTTACTGTGGATTCCTCTAAAATCAATACCACTAGGGGGTTTAGGATACCTTCTGGAGATTTACTGAAGGAACTTAAGGGTTTTAAATTATAACTTAAAAAAAAGTTAAGAATTATCTGTGTATCATTTAAGTCAAGTTCAAGCGTTAAGCTCCTGTTAATACCTTAAATTAAAAAATGTTTGTGCTACTTAAAAACTGAGGAAGATGGAGATGTCACAACCGCAGAGCAAGATAAAGGAGCCTGGAAGCAAAGATTAAAAATATAAAAATGGGGTAGAATTACCAACAAGCACAGCAAAGCAGAGTTGACGTGGTTACATAAGGTACAGGTTGTTTCCCGAATGACTGTGACCGTGCCTTCCGGTTAAACTTGTGTGACCGTGTGATGTCAGAGGAGCAAGAGCATGGACTCTCAAGTGAGATGTACTTGGGATCAGGTCCTCGGCACACCATTTTCTACCATTGTGACCCTGGACAGGTTCACTGCTCTGAGCCTCAGCTTATGTCCTCATGTGTACAATAAGGAGAATCAATATGTACTTGACGCTGATTTTATGGGATGCCCAATTTGATGCCATTTTGTCATTCCTCTTGTCTGTTTTTCAGCACTTTGTTACTTTTTCCTTCTATTTAAATTAAAATTTTAAAAATTCATATATATATTTACCAAATAGAGAAATATTTTATATATTACTGTCATGTAAATTCATAGGTATAAAGAGGTAAATGGAGAGAACTTTCATATTTTAAAATACTCCAAAGACGTGTTTGGGTAAAATTAATGTCTTTCACCACAGCTGCATTGAACAGGGTTTTCCTTATACCTCAACAGATTGCATTTCTACTCATTTTCTGCTAGAGATAGGGCTGCGGGGGGGGGGGGGGGGTTGGGGAACAAGCCCGTAGATATCAAGGATCGTCTGTTACCTCCAAGTTAGTGACAGTGAAAGTGAGGTTAGACGTGGGTGTCATTAGAACAGAAAAAAATAGAAGCAATCTTACAGGGAGCCCTTTTTATTTGGAGTGGTAAGAAAACAACGTGGTTCCTGTGCAAGATGGAGCTCCTGAATTCACGGTGTCACAGTCCCTGCCCGCCGATGAGGACCCATGGTCAGCTCATCGGACATAGAGCACGACGTTGGGACAGCCCTCTACTGAGTCGTCTGCTTTTGGGCCTTGGACCATATGTTAGTTGTATCGATCCATGAAAGTCGATTGATACGGCAGCAGTTGTGGAAGCAGTGAAATGCCCTAGAGTCTCATTAGATCCTACGCTGTTTTGTCAAAAGAGACTAATAGACAAGTGACTATAAGTGTCTAATGGTTTCTGTCTCCCGTGTTAAGGAACACTAAAAATACTTGATATTTCACATCAGTAGTGTTTCATTTTCCACTCCTTTTTGACAAAGTTGGTTTCTGTTTATTTGAAGGAATGCCCACTGGTTTTTTTTTTGTTTTGTTTTTTGTTTTTTTAATGTCAAGATCATAAGTTTCCAGGTAATGAGGAAGGATAAATCTTGGTCCATTCAGTTCCCACGGCACAGACACTGCTCGGCCTCTCTGGTGTTTCTGACATGTGTCCACTGTAAGGGGTTGGAAGTCCAGTCTGCTGCTCCTGCAGATGCTCTGTTTCTCACTTACGTGAGGATATATCCGAATTCCTGTTACTATTGACAGTGCTGGTTAGCCGGAATTGTTATCGCGGGGGTGGGGGGGGGGGGGAAGCAGACTCTATTAGCAAGTAATCATAGGCTTCAGGGAGTCTCTTCTGTACCTTAACAAGAAAACGTGGGAATACCTATTGAAAATTTAAGAGGAAAATGTTCCTAGTGTCAACAGCCTAGAAGGGGTTGTCATTACATACCAAAGAATTGTTTGGCTAACAAAGCCTGTTACCTGCCACTTTTGTTCATGCTTATATGAACTTTCTGATAAATACCAGTCCATGCGTGTAGAGGGAGAATTTCATTATTAGCTGCTTTAGATGAAGATAGGAGTAAGTATCGTGGATTCTCCTGACCAAATTGAAAATAGAGAATTCTCCTCAGACTAGCTTATTTTGTCAGAGCAGCAGTAGGGAGTCTCAGCCTTTGACTTGTCCACAAAAGGATGTGAACATTTTCTAGTTGTGTGCGATGTGGATGAGATTTAAATTCAATTTCTGGTTCTAGAACTGAAGAAGGACATTACAGATCACTGAGTGGACAACCAAAGAATTAACAGTTACAGATTTTGAAGGAAAATCAAATAAGCTGAGGTGATTTAATTCAAATAAGTGGTTTGATCGGAGTCATTATTAAAATAATGAATCATAATAGCGGTGCTACCAGCTAGTTATCATTAAGCAGGAAAATGGATGTTCAGTGTACAGAGCTCTCTAATGGTGAGAATAAAAACCACAGGAAGAAAACGGGCTGTCTATTAATTTACTTTCACTAAAACTAATTGCTCTAACAAACAGCCCCTAAACTCAGTGTTTGAACCAAAGTGTATTTCTTGGTCAGCACAGTCCAAGGTAGATCAGACTGCCACCCTGGTCAGTGACTTGGGGGCTCTGGGCTGCCCTCGTGGTGGTGGTCAACCCACGGGTGTGGCGGGGAGAAGATTTACAGATTTGTGGGGCCACACTCCCCCTTCCATCATGGCTGGTAACTCACAGTTGAGATAAAGTATGTGGAAGTTCGTGGTAGATGGCATAGTAAACAGTGGAGTAGATGGACGGGGCTCTAGTAGATCTGATTAAGAAAAAGTGCATATTTGTTTGAAATCCTCTAAGCAGACCATCCTGGGGAAGAGAGATTAAACAAATACCTTTACCAAAATGCCAACTTTTCTAGATGTTGGAAATTATCTTGTACATACTCTTCCTGCACTGTCCATTAGCTATGTGTGGCTGGTTAAATTTCAAATAATTAAAAGGAAACAATTTTTTTTTTAATCCAGCTCCTTCATCACATTAGGCACAGGTCGTTGGTGCCTGCCGTACTGAGCAGCACAGATGATAAAAGATTGCCACCTGCGTTGCTCTGCCCTCCCCCCTCCACGCCCCTCCTGTCCATGTTCCTCTCACCTCACCTCTACAGGCTCAGAGGGTGGGAAACCCCAATCCGACGCCATTTCCTACAGCAAGCCACTTGACCCTATGAGCAAAGAATAACTTCCTCCTTCTGTATATTCCCAATAACTTGATCTGCATCTCTCAGTGGCATTTTTACCTTTTGCTGTTTTAAAAAATTTTTTTAATGTTTATTCTAGAGACAGGGGTGGGGAGAAGGAGAATTGAGTTGGGGAGGGGCAGAGCAAGAGGGAGACACAGAATCTGAAGCAGGCTCCAGGCTCTGAGCTGTTAGCACAGAGCCCCACGTGGGACTCAAACCCACGAACTGTGAGATCATGACCTGAGCCCAAGTCAGACGCTTAACTGACTGAGCCATCCAGGTGCCGTTACCTTTTGCTGTTGTGATTTGCATATGTATCTTTATTATCTTCACTATTAGACCATAATGACTTGGGGGGATAGAATTCTTACTTGGATCATTTTTGTACCTCACCCCCAGTGTCCTGCATCTCATAGACACATTATTATTATGCAACAAGGATTTAAAGAGTATTATCTGCCTCCTTGCCTTCTTAAGCAGAATATTATTTGAACTATTCCCATCAGATATAATTTATAATCAGTTATTTTTAAACAATTTTTTAATG